CAGCCAGATACAGCTCCCCCACTTCTCGCCGTGCTGCGTGCCATCCTGTTTTATTTGGCACTACAACAGAGCACGAGCGTGCGCGTGGTGAGTTACAGCACCTCGGCCAAAGAGCCATAACTTCCCTCTGAAGGGGCCGTTACTCTCCAAGCTCTGCAGCGTAACAAAATCAGCTGCCCAAACCCCAAAGTTTGTCTCCGGTGCTGTCTCGCAGCTTCAGGACTTGCACAGCAGCACTGAACCAACTGGATTCGAGTACACTCACGCTGGTGTAGTTGTGTTCGCCATGGAAGATGTATGAACTATTTCAATAGAGAAAAAAGTCCTGCCAGCCCTGTGATTAATTGATGAAACCTTGTTTCCTGGGGGTTTCTGTCTCATGCTTGACTAAGAGCTTGACCTGAATCTTGCCCTACAACTGGGTCATTCTCTATCCAGTCGGGAGCTCTGTTTTCTGGAATGGGATGAGTTTGCATCGCAGTTTTTCCATTGTAGGGTGGGAATACGTGCCCTGCTGCAATTTCCAGGCTGACTTTGAAAACAAAGAAACCTCCTTCCTCGAAATGTTGGCTTGTTTCACGATCGGCAGAACCGGTGCAGCCTGGTTTCCCACTGATTCACGTCCCAAAGGAGACTCCCTGGGATCTAGCAAGGGGTGGACACCTGCAGTCAAGAGTCTCGTAGGATCTCTCTGCTTTACCTTGCTGCCAGTGTTCATTATTCCTGCTGGAATTTAATTAGCTCTTGGACCTTTATGACTCTTTCTTCTGTTTGAAACAGATCAGCAGGTTCAATGCTTACTGAGGTTTTATGAAGTGAGACTCAGGAGCATGAGAAAAGAGAGATCCTGAGTTTGGTGGTGTCAGCCTCAGTTTCCTGGGAAGTAAAGATGAAAAACTTACCCCCCAAAACAAGAAGAGTTAGACCAGGCAGAGGATTCATCCTTTCACCCCTGTGACAGGCGCAAGACAATTCCTCCGGTCTCTTGCATAAAGATGCAGCCCCTCGCCATCTGAGCTGGCCATGTGGGCTGCGCGTCCCTGGGGAGCCAGCACACCCAGCAACGTCTCCTGGCTCCCTCCCACCCCAGAACATGCTCTGCGTCATGGTTTCCAAAGGACTGGGAGCTGAGGGTGTGCAGGGCTACTCCTTCCAGAGAGGACATCTGCATAAATTGCCATAATGATACCATAAAGCAGCACGGAAGCCAATTCCTCCCTCCTACGTACTCTACCCTTGCTCATTCCCACTGCTGCTGATAATAATAACATATTCTCCAAGCTTATCACTTAGTGGCCATAATCCAATAAGCTCGTCAAGGTTTTCCCTCCTACGCTCTCTGCAGCCCTCTCCTCTCCTTCAGCCTGTCCCAAGCCTGTCCCTCGCCCATGTCCCTGGCTCTACCTGCTGCAGCTGCGGCAAGCTTGCACGGGCAGCTGCAGGGGAAGGGGGGACGGAGCTGCTTGGAGAACACGAACAGGAGCTGGCGTATTGCGAGGGAAGGATGTGGCTGTTGAGCCGCTGCCAAAAGAGGAATTGTGGAGTTTGAAAAAGCTGCCACATAGTGCCGGGACGACAATTACACAGGACCGGCGCGGGACACCGACAACTGGTTCCCATCAAGCGGGGACTGGTTGTGTCTGCCAGTATCATCAGCCCGTTCCCAACACGAGGTCTGGAGCGACCGGAAAGTGAAGTTTCTGAAATTTGCACTGCAGCAGAAAACAAAATCCATTCTTCTGCCTTCGCTTGTGGGTTTGGGTGCAATATAAACAATAATAAATAGCAGAGATGACTAAAATAGGAAGGCTGATTTTGCAGGCATGGCAGCAGCAAAAATAGACATATTTTGTAAATAAAGATGTCCTGGAAATAAGAGATGCCTGAGTTTCATGCGCATCAGCTCAGCTGTTCTGGCTTGGGGACTTCTCGGCCAGTAGTGCAGAGGGGATTTGTGCAGGCGCAAATGATCAGTAACCAAGTGCATGCACGGAATTCCCTTTGTGAGAAGCAGGGCTAGGAGCTAATCTGCTTGTGGCCGTCACGTTAACCCACAGGCTCTGGTTAAATTGGGACTGGAGCTTTACTTAAACAGAACAGGTTAAAGCAAAGCGTGTGAGGGGAGCTGCAGCTGTATTTCAATTCATCCAAAGCCTGCACGTGTTGTAGAAGAAATTGAGCTACATCAGCACGACTTGGGAGAACAACGCTTTCGCGCTGACCTTCTTCCAGAACACATCCATGTCTTCGAGAGCAAACAGGTCTCAGTTTGGTGATCTTGTCTCAAAAAGGGAAAAATAAAATGAGAAGAGATACAGAGGAAGGGATCAGGACAGTGGAAGCGATGGAGTAGAGAGGGCATGTGGAAAAGCTACAGAAAGGAAGGGGCTGCAGCATGGAAGAGCAGCACCTCGGGGCAAGCAAAGGCGGAGAAATCAGAAGGATGACACGGACCTAGAGTTTTATTCCTTGCAATGCAAGAGCTAAGGAGCGCGGAGAGAAACTATCAGGTCCAAAGCAGACAAAAGGAAGCACTTTTTCACACAACACATAATTACGTTGTGGAACTTACTGCCACAGGATGTCACGGAGGCCAAAAGTATAAATGAATTCAAAAAAAAAGGATTAGACGGATTCGTGCAGCCTGCAGCTCAGGAAGTCTCCCCGCTGCTGATTGCCGGAAGCCGGCAGGGTACGCCGGAGGAAGGATTGCTTTATTCGTTCCCTCTTCCGAAATCCCTTCCTAAGCATCTGCAGCTGGCCATGGCCAGGCGCTGGTCACACTCATGCCTGTATCCTCCTGCTAATTCCCTAAAGATGGAGCCTGATGGACCACAGCCATCACCCAGATGGGGCTGACCCCAGTTTTGCTCCCTTGGACCTGCTGCGGTCGGCGGTGGCCGGTCTTTGCTGCTGCACTGGGTGATGGAGCCCTGAGGGCTCCCGAGCCAGCCTTCCGCTCCTCCTGCCTCTGGGATTAAGCACCAAAATCTCCGCTGCAAAGCCCCCTTTGAACATGGCCGGCAGATAATGCGCATGCTGATTAAAAAAAGAGAAAAACCAGCACAGGGGAAAGTTAAATATTAAAGAACTGCAGCCCGGCTTTAACGGCTGCCGCCATCCCTCCTTCATCTTGTGCCAGCTGCCCCCAGGATACTTGAGCTGACGCTGGGTTTCTACCTTGCAAAGGCGGCTGCTATTTTAATGAAACTGTAATTTTTCACTAAGGGACAGGAGGAACATCTGGTCTCACTTCAGCAGGACAACATCCCCTCTCTATTTACACGTGTGGTGAGATTGGTGCAGCTCTCGGCTCTTCACTCCCTGTCCCGTACACGCGATGCCGGGCAGCACAGGGCCGAGGCTGGCATGAAACACCGAAGATGTGGGCTGGCAAGATCCCATCCTGCCAACAACCGGTTCTTGCTGCCCACTGTGCTGCTGCCAGCATGGCCATGGAAGGTGCTGTCCCTGTCCATCCATCCCCGTGGAGAGAAAACACAGCTGGAAAGCTACCGGCTATACTGCCTGCCCCTGACATGCAGCTATTTGGGCAGCATCCCTTATTTCAGGAGAGCTGTGCTGCTTGTTAAGTAGTCTCGTAAGCAGATCTGTAAAACCCTCCTGCTGGTTCTAATGAGCAGGGGACTGGCATTTTAAAATGTAGTCTTTTAATGGGTCTTTTCAGGAGATGGAGCTGATCCCCTGGCCAGTGGGAGCTGATGGCAGCAGATACTGTGATGATGGCTGCATGGGTTGTGTTTTATCTTTGGGCAACAAGGAAGGAATGATGGATTTATCCCTATTTTTCTTGCTAAAGCCCTGGTTAGGTGACTTGGATTGAACTTTGCGTAGCACATAACCCCTGGATTTATCTGCATCTATAGGAACACGAGCTTCTTTCTCTGGGCCGCCTATCCTACTACTTTATCCAGCCTATCTCTGCTGTATTTTTGCACCGTGTTGCCTAAACAGATGGGTTCCCTGCCCTTGCTATTGTAAGCAGAGACAGATGCAAATACATAGGAACTTATGGCCTGTCGTGTGGTTACCTAGAGAGGCCGTTGTCTGCAAACAAAGGGTGTGCAAAGACACAGACAGCCTCGCTTGGGGTAGCCTTGAGATGCACGGCCCCAAAATGATGCTGCCCTTACATGTCTGCTGTTGGAGCTGAATGCAGCAGTGGCACCTTCCAAACAGAACCGGTCGAGAGCTGTGAGATGATGACATGTCGGAAGAAAGGAGGAGCAAAATGTATATGCCTCCCCTCCCCATCCTCCAACCTATTGTTCCTTTAGGAGTCCGAATAAACAAAGGAAAGCGCACTGGTCTGGAGCACAAGGCAGCTGCGTCAGCAGCTCACCTACGTGCAAACACAGCCCCCGTCCTTCCCTACCCCCAGAGGGTTCTGGCTCAAGCTGTATTTAAAATAAAATGCCAGGACCCCAGAGTTGGGTGTGACAGAAGGAAATGGGGTCTCCGAGCAAGAATTGTGCTGTGGTGAGCCATGGCTGTGTGCGCTGGTCACACCAGGCCATCGGCCTGTAGCACACAAGCTGGATTGAGGGTTGGCCAAGAGGAGATTTAGGATGTTAGAGAAGCACAGAAACAGCTTAGGCATTTCGGGAGCACCAGCACGCAGGGGTGTAACCATGTAAGGGTCCCATCAGCAGCCCAGCAAGAGCAGTGCTGCGGTGTCACAGCTCCAAGCCCCCTTCCCTCCTCAAGTGGGCTCCCTCAGCCACCACATGAGCCTCAGCGCTTGGTCCCTCAGCCTTTATGGTGCCCGACATGGTCTCTGCAAGGCTTCTGGTGCTTTGTTTTCGTTGGGGAGTCAGTGATGGGGCATTGAAGGGATGGGCAGCGACATTGCTCCATGAGCGCAGCACTCCGTCCTCCCTCAGGCGAGGCAGAGGAGCGCAGCCCGGGCTGCTTCACCAGGAGCCGGGCGAGGAGCCGGTGCCATCCCAGCAGCCCCCGTCCTGCCCTTCATTACGGCTCCAGGTGCCGGCTGATAGAGGGCACCAGGCACAGCAACTGCGCCGCCATCGCCCGCCCTCGACGCCCGAGGCCCGGCCCCGTCCCGCAGCAGCGCGGGGGGGGCCCGGAAGGCGGCGCGGGGCGCGGAATGGCGGCGGCGGCAGCGCTGCGGTGCGGGGCGGCTGCCTCCTGCCCGCTCCCCTCCCCATTTCCCCATTCCCCTTCCCACTTCCCAGCCTCCTCTCTCTCCATGCTCCCTATTTTTGCCCTCATACTCCCTTCCCGTCCCCCTTTCCCCATCCCTTTCTCCCCCTTTTGCCCTCACTGCTCCCCCAGCTCAGCCCCAGGACCCCCCTTTCCATCACCCTCCCTGAGGTGTCCCCGTGCCCCTTCATTTCAGGATCAGCGCCCTGGGCCTGGCCTCGCTGCGGGGTGCCCGTGGCTACCGAGCGGCTCAGTGCACCGAGCTGGCCAAGCCCCTGATCCTACAGGACCTTCCGGCCCCCCCGCTGCAGCCCCACCAGGTAGGGCCATGGGGTCTCGCAGGAGCGGGACAGAAACCCTTCAACACGTGCTGTCCACTGCCACCAGGACAACTTCTTGGGGACAGCCCCCGTGGCCACAGCAAAAACAAGCTGCTGACCCCAGGACTCGTGCTCCAGGGTTTAATGTTTGTCCCCTTTTCCTGCAGGTCCGTGTGGGTGTCCAGTACTGCGGGTTAAATTTTGCTGATATCTTGGCCTGCCAGGGTCTGTACCAGGACAGACACACTCCTCCCTTCACCCCTGGTGAGTAGGTGACCGAGCTGTGCAGAGGGGGCAGTGCCAAATGTGCTCGAGTGGCACATCCTAGGGAGATGAGCAGCCCTGCGAGGAGAAGGCTGCTGCCAAGAAAGCATCAGCTGACTTGACAAATCTTTTAGGGTCCATAGGATCATGTTTTAACACCCTCTGATAATACCCGACGTAACATATTGCATTTCGAAGGTGGCATGCAAAGAGAACTTGCTAGTCTGGGGAGAACAACAGGAAGTATTGTTTGCCTGGAAGCTATGAACACCAAAGCACAGAGTGGTTTTGGGCAGGGCTGGGTCCTTCTGTCCAGAGCTGCAATAACCACCATAAGCGCATGTGGCTGAAGGCACCTCCTCTCCCTCCACAAAATCTCTCTGCCCCAGCGCCTTCCAGCAGCGCTGCGCACAGGCAATGTGTGTGTGGTGCTCCTTCGGGCTGTGACAGCTCCTTTGGCTCCACCAGCCCAGGAACTGCTGTCTCGCAGCAAAAAAGATGTGCAAAAAAAGCACATTTCTGAAGTCTCACGGTGTGGAAGCGCCTTCCTTCCTCTGCAAAAATATATTGGTATTCCAAACTGAAAGAGTCTTGCCTTAACGAGCAAGCACTTGCTGTCCCCCGTGCTGATGCTGCCATCTTCTGCCCAACTGGTGCTTTGCTGCTGAAAACTTCATGGCTTGGCCCAGGGATCTGCTCCATGTGCACTGTGTGGGTGCAACCCACGGATGTTCAGCAGCCTTGGCAGCAGAGCCTGGTGGTTATTTCTTTGCATTGCGGTGTTATAAGTGAAGGTGAGAGGGCTGAGGAGCACAGAAATTCCTGTTGCTGAGTGATTTCCACAGCTTCATGGTTCTGGAAGCGAGACCTCATCTGCAGGTCCATCAGCTGAGGATGCTGCTAATTGCATAAGCAAAAATGGGTTGTGTCAACACGTGCACGTCCTTGTCCTCCTGCAGGGATGGAGTTTTCGGGGACTGTAATGGAGACTGGAGAAAACGTTAGTGCCGTGAAGGAGGTAAGAACAACGCAGGGATGTAAGGACGCAGGAAACTCAGAAGAGGAAAGGGGTAAATACCTGCAGTTAATGGGCTACGTGGGCTGTTGTTAGACACAGCTTGAGCTGTTCGCAGTTCTTCCTGAAAATGCAGGGAAATGAAATGCTTAATTCGGAGGGAACAGCAGGACTGAGCTATTTCTCTCCCGACGCCCATCCAATCGCTATTTTTGGCAGGGATACAGAGTAATCGGTGTGACTGGCACTAAAGCTATGGCAGCGGAGTGTGTCGTTGATGAGAAGGTAAGGACGGAGCATTTCTCCCCCCAAACTGCGGGAGAGCTTCACCTCTGCTCAGCCCTTTAGCCTTGCTGGAGCTGCTGCTTCACCACCCTTTAGGTTTGCTTTCTCCACTTTCCTTGCCACTGTGGGACCACACGCATGGGGGAGCTTTTTCAAAATAGATGTTTAAAAAAAAAACAAAACAACCTTAAAACAAGCCTTTTCTCCCAGCAGGCCCCCCTGATGCTGTGCAGTGGGGTCTGCTTCAGCAGGGCTCAGATGCACAAGCCTCACCCCGTCCCTTCCCACATCACATCTCTGTCTGCAGATGCTGTGGCAGATCCCTGACAGTGTCTCCCACGAGGACGCAGCGGTGCTGCCCATCGCCTATGGCACTGCCTGGCTGGCTCTGTGCCGCCGGGCACGGCTGCAGCCAGGGTAAGCAGCAGCTTGGGGTGGCACAGGAACTGCAGCCTGGTCCTGGGCATCTCCACAGGCAAAACTGTCAGGGCACTGAGCTCCCAGGGTGTGCAGCTTAATGCTGCTTGGAGCAGAGGCCTGCACCATGCAGGACCTGTGTTTTCTCTGCAGCCTGCAGTTAACGTACCTCTGCCTGCTGCTCTGGTAGAAAAAGTGGCATGGATCTGGCCAAGCCTGGGGAGGCCACAGACCCCATAATGGGAGGGTGATCCTCATGTCACTGAAAAATTGCCTCATTCAGGAATTAGAGATGTTTTCCTGTTGTGCCATAGACCTTTGCTTGTTCATTTTTCTTCTCCCTCCCAGGGAGACAGTGCTGGTGACGGCAGGAGCTGGGGCCACTGGGCTTGCCATCATTGATCTGGCTGCCAACGTGTTCCAGGCAAAGGTATTCAGGTATTTGCCTTTTCACCAGAGCCTGTCCTTCCGTGTGCGTACTCCAGTGCCACATCTTGACAAGCAGGTGGCCTAGCATTGTGGTGACAGAGGCAGAGAATCGAGGCCAGGCCTTTGCTGGATCTGACACCAGCCTCTTTTCCCCTAGTTATCACACCCTCTCTCCTCCACTTCCCTCGGGCTCTGCTATAAGTCTCCGTCGCTCCCGTGGGCAGCATTGGGACCTCCTGCACCTCCCCTGCGGGTCATCATTTTTGGAAGGGGGTTAGACACTCCTCGCAGCCCCAGGCTCCTAAAGGCATTCAGGCACTTGTGCATCAAAAGAAGCACTAGGTTAAAGTGTTCACATCTGAGAAAACATTTCCATATATAAGGAGAAAGAGTGGGGTTTCCAACTGCCTGTTCCCATTTCCCATAAATTAAATTAAATGCTCAGTGCTTCCTGAGCAGAGCAGCTTTTGTACCAGGTGCCGGCTTTCCCTTTGGTCTCAGGTGATAGCAGCAGCTGGCAGCGACCCCAAATGCGAGTTGGCCGTGACAAGAGGTGCAAGCCATGGGGTAAACTACAGCCGGGGCAGCCTGAGAGAGGAGGTGAAGGCACTCACAGGCGGCAGAGGGGTCGATGTGGCCATCGAGGCTGTCGGCGGTGACGTCTTCAAGGCAGCTCTGCAAAGGTGAGCCGAAACCAGAGCGTGATGAAGCTGTGCCAGCAGAGGTGATGCTGCTGTCATGCCAGAAAGCTTTGCTGCCCACTGGGGGAAGGTGAAGCAAACCCTTTAGGCTATCTGCCCTGAACTGGTTGAGGAGATGGTGGCTTTGTAAGATTCATTCCTGTGGCTTGATTAATGCATGTCAGGGCTGATTAACTCACCCCTAGGGGCTGCTGTAGGGTCCAGGCGCCCACCAGACCCCAGGGACAAAACCTCTGCCTGAGCCCCCCTTGCACGTCAAATTTGTTTTCTAAAACCTACCAGTGGATAGAGCAGCCCAGAGCGCCGATGCGCTTGCGCCTGAAAGCTCATCATCCACAGCTGTCAGCTCTCCTTGGCATGTGAGCATTGCCTTGGGATGAGCTTCGGGATACCCATCGCATGTCTTCTTCCTCCCTTTGCGCAGTTTGGCTTGGGAGGGCAGGATTGTGGTGATGGGCTTTGCCGGAGGAAAAATCCCCTCGATTCCTGCCAACCTGCTGCTTCTGAAGAACGTGTCTGCCATGGGAGTGTACTGCAGTCGGTACCAGCAGGAGGATTTTCCCCTTTTTTCCTCTGCCATCTCCTCTGTTCTTCAGTATTGCCAGGAGGGAAAGATCCATCCCCACATTGGAGCGGTCTTCAAGCTGGAAGAGGTTCGTGCTGTGCGGACGCCTGAGGATTGTTAGCAAAGTCCTTTTTATGTGGGTAGAAACAGGTTTGTGTGTGCAGTTAGACCCCTGGCATAGAAGCCTCTAGAGTCCTAAGAAAAATATTAAATCGAAAAATCCCATTTTCCCTCACCTTTTTTAATCTTCCATTGGGTTTCAGCCAGGGAGCCGTTAACTCCTGGTTTGGTACTGCAGGGCTAAAATTGCAACATGCTCAATGGGGAAGTCGTAAAAACGCACACTCCTATACCAAGGAGTTTGGTCTTGGAGAATAGTATGCTGGGGTAATATTTTAGAAATGGATTAGTGGATTGTGAGGTGCCTTCATTTGCATTGTCCCCTGAGAACCTCTGAAGGTGTTCAAAACATGTTTTTCCCCTCTTTTGATGGTGTTGTAAGCCTTAGGTAACAGCTCAGCTACTCAGAAGTATCAATGTAGCCACCATCCAGCAAATTCAGGGATGTAAGGTGGAGGAATACCCAGGAGCTTATTGGCTCCTGAGTTATTTTCGATCCCAGCAGTCGATTCCAGGGACTCAGGTGCAAAGTGAGAGCTATTTGTTTATGCCAATCTGTATTACAGCCTGATGTACAATCCACAGAAATACAACCAGATCCTTGTTTTATCTTAACTTTTTTTTTTTTTTTTTTGCATGTAACAGCACAGGCATCACAACACAGCAACTGACTTCTCCCACGTTCTTGTTCTGTCCCTTCCTGCCCTGATGACCATCACCATAAACACTTGGGGCTTTGTGTTCACAGGTAAATGAAGCCTTCAACCATGTGCTCCAGCGCAAGTCCACAGGCAAGGTCATCATCTCCATGAAGTAAGAGGACTGTTTCCCCAGACTCAGCCTCCTGCTCTTCCCCTGCCCTGAAGAGGAGACTCCAAGCTCTGAACCCAGCAGTGGACAAGCCACATGAGGCAGGGACATGAGTTACAGTGGCTTTGCAAGTTGCTGCATGCCAGCAGAACAGGGGTGGCTGCTGTTGTGTGCATGCTTTTAGCTGTCCCCTTTCTTTGCTTTGCTACCACCTGGAAAGGCTCCTGCCAAGGCTCAGAGCTCTGCAGCCCAAGCAAATTGGACAACTTCTGCAGCCACTGCTCAGTTACGCAGCCAGTGCTTTGCTCTACACCTTTCATACAGCCCAGGAACACCATGGCACTGTCAGGGATTTCTTACGTGATTGTGTGTGCGTGCAATATAGCAAATCTCAGTATCAAGCTTACCTCACAGATGTCAAAGTTACTACTCCTGCAGCAACAGGACAAGGCCGCCTGGCCTCCCAAAATCTTCAATAAATCTACACAGCACTCAAAATCTGACCCGATAATGTTTCTTGGGGCAAAGAGTCATGTGTATAGCCTAGGCATAAACTGAGTTCTTACACACCTTGCCCATCAGTAGGCTATGGAGCACTTATCCCTTACTGACCACAGCCTTATGTCCTCTGTTAGCTGTGGTTGTTGGTTATGGGAGAAGGAAAGTAGGTCAGTTACAGCCTTTTTTTTCTTAAAAAAAATATAGTTGGAACTGGACAAAAAGCAAATGTGACTAACAGGGCTCCTGCTGATGGTTATTTGGGAGCCACAGGGATAAGACACAAGAGCAGTGCCCAGCCAGGCATCTGATGATCATCCTGCTGAAATGGCTGGGTCTAAAGGGAAGAACAAAGTGAGGATGACATGGGTGGAGGGATGAAGGTAGGCATGTGTGTTCTGAACAGGGAATGAAGCCAGTGACCTGTCCTGCAGTGACCAGCCAGGAAGGGTGACTGCTCCGCTGCCCACCCACCCCATTGCCTCCTACGCTCCCAGGCTGTTGTGCCTGTGGAAGGAGCGTGCTTCTTGACCTGGTGTTGCTTCAGCTTGGTCCTGGGAGGGCGATCACAGGTGGGGTTACCTTCATACACATTGCTGCAAACAAAAGGAGCCCAAAGCTCCAGTAACGAGCAGGTTACACTCTTCGAGGCTTAACGAGAGAGACCTAAGCTGTAATGGACTGCAGAGACACAATAGCTGAGCCATTTGATCTGCCAACACTTAACTTTGTCTGTGCTGCGCCCTGCTGTTCCAGCTCCTAGCATTGTATAGACTCTGGCTCTGCAAGCTGCTTCAGCATCGCCTCCAATTACAAAGTGCTTCCTCTGCTGCAATAGCCCTCCTGGCTTTCTTAGTGCACCTCTGCTGCGGCAGCAGCTCCAGCCCTGCTTCGCTCCCATCTTCTCTGCTGTGCCTCAGACCCTGGAGGAAGTTATTTAACTCCCATCCATCCTTTAAAAGCCTTGCAAATCCATCATGGTATGCACAGCTTCTCCTTTCAGGAGAAAAGTGGTGTTTTTTTTAGCTTATTCCACCGGTAATAGCAGAAAATGGTCTATTGCAGGGAAGAATTCATCCAAATAAGCTGTGAGCCATAGCTGTGCTGTAGATAATGCCTGGTTCATTTCAGTACCCTGGAAGCACTTGATGAGCACACACTCTTGGGGTATCATTGTGTTTTAGGTAAATGGGCCGTCTAAAAGAAAATCTCAGGTTTCAAAGACTGCTGAACAGTAGCTTCATTACGTATGTTCAAGCTGCCTTCTGAAAGTTACCAATAATATTTACAAGTAGTGTCCAGCAATGGAGGAACAAGACCCTTGCCCTGTTGCACTCAGCCACATGTAAGGGCTTCAAGCCCTATGCTGCACCCAGGTCAGCATGGCTATTAGCCTTTAATTACCATCATTCCATCAATTTGCTTAGCTAAAATAATATCTTTGGTTTCTTCAGGGCACACCACAGCAGTTCCTCAGCTTAGTTACATGGAAAAATCTAAACAACCTGATTTCAAGAATAGTTAGTATTTTTGAAATTACTTCTATTACAAGAAGCCCTGAAGAAGGTCACAGGAGTCCCTTGCAGCTAACTCTAAGTAGTGCTTACCTCTGCCATGCCTCATCTTCAGATCCAGCCACCCAAGGAGAAAGGTCTGCAGGCACTCAGAGACCCCACACCTTACCTCTTCAGTAACAGAGAAGCCTTTAAAGACCTATTGCTGCCTGCTTACAAAGAATTATTTTAGCTAAAGCAATAAAAACCTTATTTCATGCCTTTGAAGCATTTTTCAGGCTTTAACAACCACTTCTGAGCCTAATGCACAGCTTCTGCAACTGTTTGCTGCTAGCACTGACTTCAGCAGTCACTACTAGAGCACCAGCCCATCCTTTCCCACTCTGTGTATGAACCCTAGCAGCCCTCTGTGCACCTTATAAAGGTTAATGGCCATGATGGGCCTCCCTGACTGTCCCCACCTGTGGGGTTGGGGTCCTATGTAAGCTCTGCTCAGGGGCTCCTGCCCTGCCCTGCCCTGTATGACCATGTGCCTCCAGCTCAGCCCTTACCTGGTGGCACCATGAAGTGAAGCTGCAGCTCCCAGGTGCTGTGAGAATGTTGGACATCACACCAGCCTTCACCCAGCTGCTCTGAGATGGGTCTACAGGTCTCAGCAAGCCAGTCAGGGTGTTGGTGGTTGTCTGGTGGCTTTGGCTGGATGCTTGGCTATGTCCTTCCCCTGAATAAACACTTACTGTCATTGTGGTGGGGCAGCAGAACAGCTTGGGAGAGGAGTGTGCTGTGGGCCGGGGTATATTGCATCCCCGCTAGCTGGAGCTAAGCGAGGGGGAAACAACTGTGACTACCCACAGGGTGTTGCCTTTCTCAGGAGCCAGGAAGGATTTCTTCAGCTCTTCAAAGTGGCTGGAGTTGTACCACTTGAAATCAGCAGAAATTGGAGTGGAATATCAGCGGAGCACAGCTTTCAAAACCTCATTTTCTTTTTCCTTTCAAGCTGACAATAAGATTTTAAGAAAAACTTTGAATAATGGATACACTCTTGAATAATGGATGCTTCGCAGCTAAAGTCCCTTGCCTTCCTTCTCCGTGCCTGAATGAGAAGCCTTTTAATTGCCGAACACGTGGAGAGGAGGTACAAAGCGCTCCGTCCCCCGCGCCGCTGATTAACCGATGTGTACACGCACATTAAAGATTCAGAGGTGGGGAAGCAGCTCCCAGCCCCAAGCTGTATGCTGTGCACGGTGTTTTTTATCAGCCAAGGATCTGGCACGAGATGTTTTGCATCTTTTCGTGTCTCCCCGTCATGGCTGCTTGTAGTCCTCTGTTCTCCAGGGTCGGATTCTTCCCGTGTCCGTGGAGGAGCTCCTTTGGGGGTCAGCGTGTGCTTCGTGTGCCCCATCCTCAGCCTCTCCCTACCTGGTGCGGTGCCCAGGTGGCTTCAGCTGCGTGAAACCCTGCCGTGTTAGTGCTCAGCCAGTTCCTCCGTCTGCCCAGAAACTCTGCTGGTTGGGAACGCTTAACCTTAGACCACAGAAATACCCCTGGAGGTGCCTTGGGGTGAAGTGGAGGGTACCTGGGGCTCCCTTGTGTCAGGTGTTTCTCTTCCACGTCGAGGTTTTCAGTGACCCTTGCTCCCACGGACCGCAGGAAGCCGCTGGCGAGGTTTCTGCCTTCAAACACCTCATTCCCTGTCAATTCTGCAGCTTCTTGCCTCGGAGGACAGCTGCAATTTAGTTTTATTTCGCGAAATTTGACATGACTTGAGCCTGTGATTTACTGGCCTTGAAGGATATGGTGTATGTAACCGTGGAGGGCATAAGTGGCTTTTCATGGTAGAGGAGTCATAAATTGAGATGAAAAAAAATGAGGGAAGCATTACTGTCCAACTTTACAAGGTAGCACTGAGAACAGGACACACCGAAGCCATCTGTAACTGTCAGGGGTCTTTATTGTCCCTGATTGTGTGTAATAAAGCTCTGGAACGAGCCCCATGGTCTCCGGTACAGAGGCAACCAACACTCGAGCACCGGAGGAGACACAAGATGGCAATCTTTCCAAAAGGACGCTCTGGAACGTGGTGGGGCTGAGTATCTCTGAGCTATCGGCTTTCCTCGGGAGTTGCTGCTGCTTCAGTATTTGTTTGTCCTCCGAATATTTCCAGGCCTATTTGCAGGTGATCTCTGTAAGGCAGTGAACAGGGAGACAAACACCAATTTTCTGACGTAGAAAACATGAGGGAGCTGTGCAGAAAGACAAGGGGACCCGAGTACTGACCCCTCCTCGGTGTGGTGGGGTTTGGCTGCTGTGTCCCCGTTACCCCGTGGACACCCTGCTGGGATGCTCGGTGGCACGGCCTCGGTTCAGGGCTGGGAGATGGACGTGGCATTCACAGCCAGGAGCTGCAGGTCCTGCTGCGGCAGGGATGGAGGAAGGGGAAGGCTTTGAATTTTTTGGGGCGTTTCTTCGTAATGGCAGGCTGGCATTGCACACATGGTGCGGCGCATTGCACAGGCACGCTTTGATTTCTGCAGATAAGAGCTTTTTGCACGTCTGCTTTTTCTCTGAGTACAACACTGGGTGTAAACTGCTGTTTCTTAATTTGCTTTATGCTGAACACTACCGGAATGCAATTAATATTCATACCCTGAAGTCACAAAAAAAAATTAATAGGCATATTTTGGTGCTGCTAAATGTGTGTTTGTAGGAATGGTGAAGTTCCTCAAGCCTGGGGACAGACTTGCAAGGGCTGAAGCAGACAGAAGGATTTTGGGAAGTGCTGTGCTGTGGATCAGATCCACACGATGGAGCTAACACAGCAGCTCTCATCTCTGCTGCTTCAGGAGCCGCCACCTTCCCCACCCTGGAAAGGCCAAAATGCCCCTGCGAGACCCAGACAGAGCGGGGCTCCCACCTGGCAGGAGTGCTCAGGCTAATTAATGAGCTGCCACTGAGGCTGATTGAGGCTGAGGGCTCTGCCAATACTTGGCAGGCTCCTGGGGGGGTTTGGTGGTCTCAGTCTTCATGTGATGTGAGATGCTGGTGGGTGTCCCGAGTGCTGGTGTCTTTACTTTGAAGAACCTGCAGATCAGTCCCCCTGTTTCTGTAGCCCGTTTGCTGCTCACATTCCTGCCCCACAGATGGGACGAGGCTTTTTGGTGTTCCCTCCGGATGCCACCAGCCCTCGCAAACCTGCTGTGCCGGGGCGTGATGCTCCCACAGCCCCGCCGGCAGACAGCCTGCGTCACCTCCGGGGGGCTGCAGCTCAGAGGTGGGCAACACTTCCTACTCATGCCATTTACAATAATGATCTCATCTTGGAGATGATTAGAAACAACATAAAACCGCTAAAAATAGCTTCAGGTGCTGCGGCCACCTCGGTTTCTCCTTTGGTTGCAAGGACTTCTGCTCAGGCTTTGCTGATTTTTCCCCAGCTGGGCTCGGTGCCCCAGCCCGGGCTGGCTGCAGGCGATGTGATGCACACCCCAGGGCATGGAGAAAAATGTTTTCCACCTAATCTTGTTACTGTGACAACAGCAGGGAAACCTTTTAAAGTGAAAAATATGATTTTTTAAAGAGATAGCTGTGCCCCTTCAACTTCGTGTAACAAATGCCATCTATAGTGCCTACTGCCCGTCTTGCAGTGGACTTGTGTGCTTGGTGGCAGTCCTGTGGCACAGCTCTGGGGTTCCCAGGACATCTCTGGATCTTTCTCAAATAGAAATGTATTGGCTAGGAGAGATGCAGTTCAAGGGCTACTTTTTTTTTTCTTTTTTCTTTTTTTTTCTCTTTTTCTCCCTCTTTCCAGCCTACCTGCTCCTTTTGTCTGCATCTCTTCCTTTCACTTCTCATTTCCCAGCTCCTTCCCCTGGCTCTCCTCTTCTAACACACTTTTCTGCTTGCTTTTCCTGAGAAATTGGCGTTCCCCAGCTGTCCATTTTAAGCTGCTGTTGCTCACAGCTTCATGTTGCTGGCAGTGGTTCTTCCACCTCCTTCCCCAGCGCAGAGCCGGGCAGCATTTCCCACATCCCAAACCCCGGCAGCACCAGCCACTGCTGCTTTTGTGCAGGTCGAGCATCTTCCCTGCAGCCCAGACCCCGAGGTCTTGCAGGCAGCAGCAGCCTAAGAAACCACAGGTGCTCCAAGTGTCGCTGCTTGCCCCTCAGGAGTCCCACATATAAATCCTCATGGTTGCAAGAAAATGGGCTGGAAGCAGCCAGTAGTCACCTCTTGGCCAGAAACCTGGAATTATTAGCCAGTGGAGAGAGGAGGGGGAGAAATCTATGTGTGTGCATGCTAAAATATATATTAAATATATTAAAGCAGCATCCTTGTGTTCTCTTAGGCTCCTTTCTTGCTGTCCCAGGAGGGCTGCCCTTTCCATATCAGGCATTTTGCTTTGCTCCCAGCCACTCAAAATGATGAAGAGCAGCTGTGGAACTGAAAGGGGAGCCTTCGTTCTGCCCTGCCCAAGCAGCTTGTGGGTGTGGGGATGACGCTTCCCAGGTTTGTTTCCTCCAGGCTGGTGGCACGGCTGAGTGATGAAGATGTTGGTTTTTATTTGAAGCCCTTAATTCTGTGGAGACTGAGCGCTTATTTCTTGGGATCACCAGGGAAAAGTTATATTTTCCCAGTGGGGTGGAAATTTCAAGCTCTGAAGCTGAAACACTGTAATCTTCCAGCATCCTTAAAACGGGATTTCTCCTGGTGGTGCAGGTGCGATCAGGACACATTTGGGAGTGAGAGGCCCTGGTCTTTTTCTAGGGCCACCCTGTGATTTTGGGAGAAGATGGCATGTCACTGTGCTGCTGGGCAGAAGGCAGTTTTATGTTTAGCTCTTGCTGTGTGTCTCTGTGATGCAGTCTGCCTTCATTCCCTCCATTTTTCAGTGTTTAGGGCTTCTGAGGGGTTGCAGGAGGCTCTGTAGGAAGGAATCCCTGGTCCCTTACAGAGTAAGGACTTAGAGGCATTGCTGGGGTGCTGCCTGGGTCCGTTCTGCCCAAATTGTGTCCCAGTCAGCATCCCATGGGACGGATGTTGTTTGCTTGAGCATCTGTGGTTGGGTCCGGACCAGCTGAGCTTAATCTGCAGATTTTATTTCTAATTTCTTAGGGAGTACAGCAGTGGGAGCAACAAGAAGATGGGCAAGGGAGGATGCGTGAACCATGGCTTAATAATAATAATAATAAAAAAGAATGCAGGAAAAAATATGCTTTTTTGGGGGGGCTCAGGGGCTCGTGTGCTTCCTCTCAGGTGGGAGGGGATCCCTGGGGGCCCAGTTCCAGCAGCAGCAGCACCGACCTGGCTGGTCCCCGGGCGGAGGAGCCGCTGCCCTTTGTCCCCTGCGGTGGCAGTGGACTTTGGCAGCGGCGCCTGGGGAGCGGAAGAAGGGCCCCGGCGGCCTCCCAGCAGGTGTGTGCGGCTCTGGGGGGTCCGAAAATGGGGGGGAACCCGAATGATGGGCACCTGCCCACTTGCACCGGGGCAAGGGGAGGTTAGTTAGGTGGAACCCTTTTTTCACCTCTGTTCGGACATGAAATGACCCCAAAATGCCTTAAATTTTGATCGTGAGGGGCACTGCTCGTAGTATGACATGTACAGCACGGGGCTTTACCCCCTTGTTGTGGAGGGGAGCAGGTTTTCCCCCTGCGTGGGGCAGCAGTGCCCCAGGGCGCTTCGGAGGCTGGCCAGGAGGATGCTGCCTGGCTGCAGGCTGCTCGCAGCGATGGCCGTGTTCATCCCGATATTTTATGGGAAGCTTCATGGGGAGCCAAATGGGGAAATCAATGCTTTATCTTGCCTCTGCTATGGGTATTTTGGAAACAGGATGGCAGGCTTGCAGGAGGGTGGGCAGAAGGTGGCCACAGGCTTCAGAGGAGGCTTGGTGGTGGGTGAGAAGCCCTTGTTGAAGCTCTTTGTCATCCATCTCATTGCTCTCAGGCCTCCAAAGCCCCTTGGATCTTCTGGATGGAGCCCTGGGCCCCCCTGAGGCCACCCCTGCCTTGGCAGGGCCACGCAGCCCGGGGCGAGAAGTGGTCTGTGTGGGCAGAGGGCCCCCATGGGCCACCTCCTCGGTGGCCTGTCCTCCACGCAGGTCCCCCGCCTCGTCCTGGCTCCTGGGAGCAGGGCCACCCCCCCGGCAGGGACACGCGCCGCCCGGCATCCCGGGCAGAGAGCTACGAGAGCGGCCACCCCTTCAGGCCCTACTCCAGGTAGGAGGCGTGTGGCTTTTAGCATGGCTTGCGCTGAGCCCCTACTCATCCCTCCACCTCATTAACGATTTTTCTGGAAGGTTCGGTGAAACCTTCTTGGCAGAGAAGCTGCTTTTTGTCTCCAAAAGGTCTACCCTAAAGGTCCCATCCCTGGATGGGGCCGGGGGCTGGCGTGGTGTCCTTTCCCAGCTCCACGCCTTGTGTTGCTCCAGGCAAGGACATGAAGACCCCCACTGGCAGTACCCAGCGGCCACCTACGGGGACAACCACGCTTACCAAAGCCACCAGCGGCAGCCTGCGGCCTGGCAGGGTGACAGAGGTACCCCCTCCTCCTCTGGGTCTGGGGACAGACCTCTGGCTTGCAGAAGGAGGTGATATTTTCTCCGGGATGGGATGTTCTCCTGGGGCTTGCACACCTCCAGGGCTTTCTCCTGCCCATGCTCACAGGGCAACAGTGCTGTTCCCCCTGGGCTGTGCTGCCCTAAATTTACATTTGGGAGCTGGGCATGTTTAATGCGTCCCAAGGGAGCATTTAATTTTGACCTGCATGGCTCAAAATCTGCATCGTGCCTGGGTGCAGGCTGAGCGTGGGGATGCTGATGTGGTCAGGGCGGCTGGTACCTCATTTCTGCTGCATTTCTGGGCTGAAGAAAAGGGGAGGCAGGAAAGAAGGAAGGGTGCTGTTGGCAAATGTGCACAAGGCTTCCTCAGACCTCCGACTTGCCAGGCGAATTTGGAAGCAAATGGAGTGCGTGCAGCAAATTGCCTGGCTCCTTGCTTTGCTTTTTTTAACTCCACGACGGCTTGCTGCTCTGGGGGGCAACACGAAATCTTGGTTCCCTCTCTAGACGTGAGGCAGGGCGAGCCCTACAGCAAGAGCAGCGCCTACCGGGACCAGCACTACCACAGGGGCTACCACCCCAACCTGGCCACCAGCCCCCCTGGGCAGGACAGGTGAGGGGGTGCTCGGGCTGTGGCTCGTCCCTTCACACAAACCAGCGGGTTTGTGGCTGGTCCCAAAATCTCCAGCACCAAGAGCGTCTCCTTTTGCTCCCTCCTGCAGGTCCCAGAGCTACGACGTGTACAAGGAGGGCTCCAGGCGGTCGTGGGCAGGGGGGGAGGCCATCGGCCAGCCCCGAGAGGTAACCCCAGGATGGGCAGGGATGGGGGGGGAAAGGCTTGGAGCTCTCCCAGGGATTTTGGGAGCCATCCTGTGCTCCTCCTCCAGCTGGGAGAGAATGAGGAGAAAAGGGCTGCTTTGCTATGTTATGCTTGCTGCTAAATGTTTTATCTGGAGGTTATTAGGATTTATGAAATCTGTCTGCTGGGCTGGTGAATCTAGGATGCTGGAGGGCTTGAGCTGCTAGGACAGCAATCAGCTGTACTCCTGCGGGTCCTGCCACCCCGGGTGAGCGGTGGAGCCCCTAGTTTCTCAGCCAGGTTCATGTCTTCTCCCCTCCTCGTCATGCCGCTGGCCAGCCCAGCCTGCTCCTGCAGTACCGTGAGTCGGGGCTCAGCTCCAGCGGCTACGAGCTCAGCCAGTACATCCGCGACGGAGCCGACCACTGTGACACCGCGTTTTCGGAGAGCTGGAGCCCAGCGCAGGGAGGTGAGGACACGTCAACAAATGGCTGCTTCAGGAGGTTTGCTGTCCTGTGGTGTGGGCCTTTGCTGGAGGTGATCCTGCTGGGTGCGAGGAGCTACCACCCATTTGTCTTCTGCTTTAGGTGGCGGTCCCTGTGTGGGGGGCCACTGGAGCGTTGCTCGAGTTGGGGGGCCAGGAAGGGAGCTGGTCACCTCACTGTGGAGGTGGTGGTGTGGGGTCAGGGTGGGGGTCTCACGCTGGCTTGTGTTGTTGCAGGGGGGCCCTCGGTGTCCGGCCTGGCACCCCCCAAGTTCTCGCTGCCGCACAGGGCGGTGTGCTTTGGGGCTGGAGGGCAGCTGGTGCTGGTGTGTCCCCACAGCCCTGCCGAGGGGCAGCGGCCCCTGGTCGAGCTGCACAGCCTGGAGGTACGCCCCAGCTCCCAAATCCACCCACGGTTCCCTTCCTGGAGCTGCCCCTTCCACCCCATTCCTCACTCAAGTGGCCTCCTCAGCGGCCTTCCCGACCCCCTGCTCCATCTCATCTCCAGCCCTCATGGCCTCCTGGGCCTCGTTGTGCCAGCCCATACCTGGGCATCGCTCTCAGCCTTTGGACCCATCTCCTGCTCCTTTGGCTCCACAACCCTCGTGTTGTCCAAGGCCTGCTCACAGCGATCCCCTTCCCTTGGGGTGGACGTGGTCCGTACCTCTCTGAGAGACAGATCTGCCGATTTGCCTACCTTTCCGAGGTCCTCCTATACGGAGACCATACCCATTCCCCGAGTCCACCACAACACTTCCCTCTCCTTTCTTGCCTCCCAGAGGAGGCAGGTGCCATCTCAAGGACCATCCTGGCCATAGGGCCTCACATGATGGTTTAGTGTCCATGCTGTGGGGTTACCTTAACAAGGCACAGAGAATGGGTTCACCTGGGCCAAGGCACTGACTTTCAGCTAGCCCAGTGGAAGCAGGCCTCCTTACTGGAGCCCAGCTGCTGAATTTGTTGCTGTTTTTTTAGGTAATCCTTCACAGCACGAAAGAGCAGGAGGAGCTGCAGGCCTTCCCAGGGCCCCTGGCCAGGTATGGACTTGGTGGATCCCAGAGCCACATCCTGTGCTAGCACAAGCCCAAGGCAGGCTCCAGAGCCCCCCTGGTTTTGGGAGGTGATGTGTGCAAGGGCCGAGTCTGGGTTCGGATGGGGAGCCTGGGGATGAATCTTAGCGTGTTGCACCAGGCAATTCTCCTGGTCACACCAGCATGCAAAAGGAGAAAAAACTTTTACTGAGCAAAAGCTGCAGGTGCTCAGTAACCGGGTGGAAGATCTGGAGGTCCCTCTCCTCTGGCTGACTTTCCCCATGTCTCTCAGCCACCCCTTCCGTACGACTGTCAGATTTTTCTCTTTGTAAGACAGAGTAGCACTGCCTGGTTTGCACACAGCTTAAAGGTTCTGCCTCTGTCAGACCCTAAGGGTTTATATGGTTACAACCGTGTCTTTTGCCCTGCACTGTGGCAGTTAATCAAATAAAAGATACTGCCTGTATGTGTGCCTGCTCCTACAGCCCTGGACATCCACGTCTGTGACAGCATTGCACCTAGGAGCAGTGGGGGATCTTTCTGGGTAGATTGGGGAACAGGCTATTAGTAGGGCAGTGGGTGTGAGATGCCTTCAGCACCCCCAAAACACAGAAACTTGCAAAGAGTCATCAAAATGACCAAATTTGTTAAGCATTTTTGAGCTTAGTGGGGTCAATGCAGTATGTTTCTTTGACTGCTTAGGATCTTCTCTTTTCTGTCTCTTGCTTCTTTGAATCTTTGGCATCCCTGTCTGTGAACCTGGGGGTGCTTTGATTCTTAATGATGTCCTAGATTGCTTTCCCTTGGGTTTCTTTTGATGCCTTTGTTTGCTGCCGTAGGGAAGATCTGCACAAGGTGGATGTGATGACATTTTGCCAGCAGAAGATAGCCACAAGCTGTGATCTTTCAACACAAAGAGGCAGAGATTCAGCTCTTCTCTGGAAACTCCTGGTCCTCCTCTGCCGGCAGAACGGGGTAGGTACTGACCCTTTTGATCTTTGTGGTGAGACAAGTGAGAACCTTTATGTGTCTCTTGATCCAGTGGCTGCTTTAGGGGAAAGCTAAAACCATCCCATTCCCAATTTGGTGTCAATCACTGTGGTACTGCCTGGGTATTTGGAGCAAAACCCTTCTGCATTGCTTCTCGTCCTTGTGAACCACCAGCAGCCCAATGCAACGGCAGCTCTGTTGCGAGGAGATGAATCCCTTAATCCAACAAAATCTACCACATCTAGTCTGTGGCTGCTTGTTGGAAGTGGGTGAACAAGATCTTCAGAGCTGTGATGGTCTTGGGACTGGTGCTGGCTCCTTTACCCCCCCAGCTGCATGCTGGTGGCCAAGGCTGGTCTTGCTGGGAAGAGTTTTTGGGCATTGAGCTGGAAGTGGTGTTGGGCGGCCTCCACAGGCCTTGTTCCTCCATTCCCCACCTTCCCTTCCACAGTCCATGGTGGGCTCAGACGTGGCCGAGCTGTTGATGCAAGACCGCAGGCACCAGGAGAAGTACAAGAGGCAAAACCCCATGGAGAACCCAACCAGACTGGCGGAGGACGAGTGGTGCCAGCCAGGGACGCTGGACCTCATTACAGGAGAGGTCCCTCCCGTCGTGGAGACACAGGCGCAGATAGTGGAGAAGTTCACCAAGCTCCTCTACTATGGCAGAAAGAAAGTGAGTCGTGAGCAGGACCCGGGAGGAAGGGGGGACTTTTTTGTTGGTCCCGTTGGCCTCTCCAGGCAGGTTTGAAGGGCGGTCAGGAAGTATCTTGTGGTTGCAGGATCGGCTCTTCAAGTTGTGTTTGTACAATAGTTGTCATCGTTGTGGAAGTCAGAAAGCTAAATAGGGCTTCGTGACTACTTCTTGGAGAGTATTAGTTGAACCTCAGGGACTAGGTTGGGTTTTTCTCCGAGCCAGATGAGCAGAGGAGGAGGGCAGGGAACCGGAGTGAGCGCGGACCCCTTACTCCTCTGTCTTGGCTGCAGGATGCCCTGCTCTGGGCCATGAGAAACCAGCTGTGGGGCCATGCCCTCTTCCTCTCCAGCAAGATGGACCCGCGGACCTACAGCTGGGTGCTCGCAGGGTAAGTGGGGGAGTTCAAGCAAGGTGAGCTGCTGGCGATGGGCTTTGTGAGCAGGTATCCCCCTGGATGTCCCCCTGGGTACCCTCCGCCCCGAGGCACTGAAACAGAGGACCTTTCAGAGGAGCCAAAGGGGAGAGGAGAGCACCCGTCCAGGTGGGGCTGAGTCCTTCAGGCTTCCTGATGGGCAGCAGAAACCAACCGGGGGGCCGGGAAGCAGAAGGAAAGCTGTTCCCCAGAGACGTTGGGGGGATTTGTTCCAAGGGCTTGGCTTTGCTCTAGCTGCAGGTGGGCAAAGGCTGGGGAAGGTGGTAGCTGAGCCATCTCTGCCAGCATCCAGCCCAGGCTGAGCTGTTCATCCTACTCGTGTGAGCATTTTCTGGTGGAATTAATATACTTAGGCTGGATTGGGTTGATCCCTTCAGGGAGGGTTAAGAAAAATTTTCTCTTGCGCATCCCGAATCCTTTTAAGAAGGTTTTATCCAGCATTGTCCTTGAGACTCGCCTGCTCCGGAGGCAGCACAGCTCACCAGCCTGGTGGGGCTTGCTCTCCTTTCTGCCTTGCCTTCAGCAGCAAAACAAAGCCTCCCAGGACACTGCTTTGCTGCAGCCTCTGGGACGTGCCCTAGCGGGTGTGTGAGAGTTTTGGGGTGCCGGCACAGCATCCCCATCTCTGCTGTCTCCTCGCAGGTTCACCAGCACACTGGCCACCAACGACCCGCTGCAGACCCTCTTCCAGCTCATGTCGGGAAGGATCCCACAGGTGGTACAGGTCCGTGAGCCTGTCCTGGCCTGTGCAGTCACCCACTGGGGACACCTGCCTGGTGGTGACCGCCTCATCTCACCTGGGCTTTCCTCTCCCTCCAGAGCTGCGGGGATGCCAAGTGGGGAGACTGGAGGCCCCACCTGGCCGTGCTGCTGTCCAACAAGGTGGGAGACATGGAGCTGAACCACCGGGCCATCATCACCATGGGGGACAGCTTGGGTGAGCTGAGGCCCCGATGCTACGTGCACCCCTTTCTGAGAGCTGCTCGGTTAGCTGCTCTTCTGGAGACGCCTGGGATTTTCAGGCGAGCTTGAAGGCCTTCAAAGCAGCGCCGAGCTGGTGTTGCTTGCTTGCCAGGGCTGAGTATCTGTCTGCCTTCCCCCAGCTGGCCGGGGAGCTGTGGAGGCAGCTCACTTCTGCTACCTGATGGCAGATATTCCTTTCGGTTACTTCGGGGTGAAGGCAGACCGCATGGCGCTGCTGGGCAGCAGCCACCGGTGAGTCAGCCCGGTCCCACCATAGCTTCATCTCCCCTCTCTTCCTCATCCCTGGGGTTTCTCCCACAAAACCGAAGCCTGTTTGGGGGGGATTTTATTGCCCTTAATGCCAGCTGTGCTCTGGGCCCCTCCAGCTGCAGGCTGGCACCATGGCAGAGCTGCGGCCCCGCAGTTTGGGATGGAGAACCTCGCTCCTATGCCCTGAGCACCCCTCTCCCCTCTGCCCCACAGGCAGGCATTTGCCCAGTTCGCCAGCACAGAGGCCATCCAGCGCATGGAAATCTTCGAGTATTGCCAGCAGCTGCGGCAGCCCAAATCCTTCCTGCTCCCCTTCCAGGTAGTGAGGGCAAGCAAACACGCATGCTGCTCAGACTGGCCCTAAGGCATCCCATAAGCATCCCCCGGCCCTGCTGGAGCTGAGGGCAGGGGCTGCTCTCCAAAACTTGGTCCCTTGCTGTTTGTTGGGCTTGATGGTGGGGCTGCGGTGGCCAAGGGGCTGCTCCAAGGCAGGGTTTTGGGTTTTGGGGACTGGCGGGTGTGAGCATCCCCTCGCTCCTGCCCTATGACCGCTGCTCTCCCAAGGTGTACAAGCTCCTCTACGCCTCTCGCCTGGCTGACCATGGGCTCCCAGCCCAGGCCCTGACCTACTGCGAGCACATTGCCACCGTGCTCCTGGGACAGGATCCGGCCAGCCACCCCGTCCTGGCCCAGCAGCTGGTGAAGGTGAGTCTTATGTCCCTGCTGCGCAGATCCCGGGTGGGGGCATCGCTGGGGTTCCTGCCAAGTCTGGGACTTCACCTGGGTGCCTGCACACATCGACGGTATCACCTGCCAAACAGGGATGGAGTTGTTTAGAGGCCAAGGGTGCTTTCTCTTGTGGAGGTTTTGAACTTTTAAATAGCCCAGGCTGTTAGATTCGCTTTTGAGAAGCCACAATCCATGGGGCGCTTGATGTTTCCTCCCCAGCACATCATCTCATGGTTGAATTTTCTGGTTGGGGACTCTTCTGGGCTGGCAGTGGATGGGAGCATGTCCCTGTTTGCAGCTCAGAGCTTCTTCCCTGCAAAACCATGGTCTCATGCTCATGGTGAGCTGGGAGGTGCCTATGGCACATATGAGGTGCTGGTGCTTGTACATCACCCCTTTTTGGTGACAGTGTTGCAGCTTGAACAGGAAATCCCCCGTCCCACGCTGGGGCACGATGCACGTCAGTGTCCCATGTCCCCAGGGGCAGGTTGCACATCTTCCTGTGGCAGTCCTCTGCGGGGTGCAGGGTGAAATGGGGAGAGTGGGGGTGCAGGATGCTGCAGGAATGGCATCCAGCCCCAAAACTTGGCATTGTGCATCACACCCCCCTCACACACCGTTGTTGAAACCTATTTACTGTCTAACAGCCTCTCAGATCTGCAGTTCTGCTGGGGATAATGCTTCTCCTGGGAGAAAACACTTTCATCTGAAAAACCAGTGCATTCGTAGACACTCTTGTCTTTGATGTTTTAGACTGTCTTACAAATTATGATACACATTAGTGTTTGATTAAGACTTCCCCTCTTTTGAAGCTGGGGACGATATACAACCAGGTGCTGGTTCATTAATATTGGATCAAAGTGCACATTAGCTTTTGGATTAAACATTCCCCCCGTTTAGGAGTAATCATGCTTATAATTTCCTCTTTCCTGCAATTGATTTAGGATGAGCACACGTGTGTTTGCACAAAGCCGGGATGGTGGGGTCCAGCCAGCCGCACTGGGTGGCTCCACGGCTGGTCCCTACCCCAGGACGGGTCCCATCTCGCTGTCACCTGGTGGTGGTGGGAGCTGGGTTTGTGCTGGTTTAGGCTTCGTTTCTAACATCTTTGGGATTAGGAAGAAGCAGCCGATGTGGACTTGGTGCAGGGGGGGGATGCTGAGGTCTGCAGGGTGGCCCTTGGGGTGGCAGCCTTTGAAGGAGCATAAATCAGTGCCAGGCGGGGAAATAGAGCTGGGAGAGAGCTCGACAAGTCCCCAGACAGAGGGTTGATAGCAATAAGAACAGACTGGACGAAGAGCTGTGCTTTGGGTGTTGTTTCCCCTCGACCTTCTGTCTTGAAACTGGATCCAGGTCTAAGCAGGAGTCCCGGGTCATTCAGACGGCTTTGGCTGGGGTGGCATGGACCCTACTCGTGCTGGAGAAATGAAACGTGCAGCAGCAATGCTGCAGAGAGGGACCTGGGGGAGACAGCGGAGCACGGAAAAAATATTGAGCAGTAAAATGATAACAGGATGCTGCTGAAAAAAAAAAAAAAAGCCAATGTTATCATGTTATTCTGGGCTGTGAGAGCAAGAATGGCATGTGTGAGACAAGGAGGTGATAATCCCCCGTGCTCAGGGGTCTCAGCTGGGGCACTGTGCCCCATTTTGGATGCTGTGCTCAGGGACAGTGCCAGATTGGAGCCAGTGATGAAGAGAAGAGCTCGGGTGATAAGAGGTGGAGGGGAAAATGACCTCAGGGTTATTTTCTGCAGGCAAGATAAGCTGGCGGAGGAAGGGGGCACGGGGGGATGTGATAAGGGTTCTCCAGTGTGCAGGAGGTTGATTTTAGGGGCTGGTGCCTGGCCATCCCTGCAGCATTTGCAGAGCAAGAATCAAGAGGCTTAGCTTGCAGTGGGGCAGATTTCACCTAGATATCAGGAAAATCCCCGTTGTCCCCGTCCCTGCAGCTGGCCGAGCGGCTGAAGCTCTGTGACCCGCTGCTGCTGGAGATGCCTGAGCAGGACCAGGCGCTGGAGCCAGAGTGGCTGCTGCAGCTCCGAGCCCACTGCCAGCACTGGGAGGTGAGGAGCAGCCCTGGGGTGCTCCCGGTCTCATCTCTTCTGGTGGTTTTGTGCCCCTCTGGCTTCCCCTTCTGCCTGCTTGCAATGGGGCACAGAGCCATGGGAGTGTCGGTATGGGGGTCTCCTTTAACTGAGCTTGTGCTTTGCTTCACACTGGCTGTGCGGTGTCCTTGGGCTTTGCCCTGTGCCACCCTGTCCTCCTCTTTGTCACGTTTGTCCTCTGGCTCCCTGCAGGCAGAGGACAACCTCCCTCCAGAGGTGGCACTGACCCAGCCGGAGCTCTCCTGGGCTGCTGCGTCCACCGCAGGTACGGAAGGGGAACAGGACCAAAGGTTGCCTGCCTAATTACCTCACTGGGCCTAATTATCTCTGTGGGTGGGGAGGGTGCCGGTGGCACACATCTATTGGGCATCCCATCGAGGAGAAGCCCAGCCAGGTGGCTCCTTGGTGGTGCTCCACAGCTACCTCCATCAGGAGGATGTTTGCTCCTGGCTGCCTGCTCGTACAGTTTTCTGGCGCCGAGGAGTGGCGGCGGAGATGCCAGCACTGATGGGTAGAGGATGAAGGCTGGAGCAGACAGGATAAAACAAGACAGATTTCTCCGAGCCATTTCTTCCTATCAGCTTTCCCTGCTGCTGCCAAATTCCCCTTCAAGGAGCTCTCCCAGGCAGTAAAAAGGATCATCAATCCTGATTGCCTCATGCTGCTATCAGGGCTGAGGCTATGATCCTCCCTCTCTGAAAAAAAAAATACATCGCAGGTATGATGGGATGGCTTCTCCGAGCCCGTGGCCGCCGCTGCTTGCTTGCTTTCCTTATGCCCAGCACTTTGCTTCATCGAGAAGGCTGTCCAGAACCAACCTTGGGACGGGAGGCTGCCTTGTTCTTCCTCATCAATGGACTGGTGTGCAGGGAAAGCTGGCTTGATGCTGAATTCATCCATCCTGCAAAGAAAAAGCCTGGATGAAGCCTGTTTGGGTGCAGAGGATTTGGCCCAGTGACCCAGTCTAAGGGCTGACCACAAAGTGTCCTCCCAAGAGCCACGCTGGGATGGGCATGGGCACAGCAGCCTCCCTGTGGCTTCCTCCTGGGCTTTCTCCAGCTGAACGTGGAGTCGAGTATTGGTGGTGCACTGGTCCCTTCTCCTTGCTGCAAGCATCTCCAGGCAGGTGCAGAGCCCTGAGCAGGCTGGGAGCAATGCCAGCAGGCCAAGTGAAGGACTTGGTAGAGCCTCATCCAAGAAGAAGTGTGGTCCTTCCCCTGGCGGGGTCTGGCTCCTGCCTGGTGGCATCTCAGGGTGATGGGAGAGAAGATGCTCCGTGAAGAGCATGTTTCTGCCCAGAGACACAGAGCTGGAGCAAGCGGTGTGCAGGAGGGACACGCACCTTGGGGCATCCCTGAGACACCTGTCTAACATCAGGCAGAGCATCGCCTGCATGTGCCAAATAAAACCAACCCTCGCCACCTCCTCAGCCTTCCCTTCAAACAAAAACCCACCCTTGAACAAATCTGCCTGAAGCAAGAAGCTCCCCCACATGTGAGGCTGCAGCTGGAGAGCTGTGGGTCTTCACTCCCACTTGGGTTTGCAGCGAGAGGGGAAAAAAAAGGCTCGGAGCCCCAGATTGCTTTCAACTGCTGGGCACGTGTTGCTTGCTCCTGGCCTCTACTTCAACAGTGTTCTTCTGGGTTTGTTTGCAACCTCAGGCAGGTTCCCAGGAGGTTTTCCACCATCAGTCACAGCCCACCTTCCTTGGAGCCTCTTGCTCCGTGCCCTGCCTCCTTCCTCGCCCACGTGTGGTCCCTGGGGTCCTTCCTCACCCTTGCAGCTCCTGCTGATGTATAATGGAGAAGGAGAAAACCCAGTGCAACAGCTCGATGGAATTGCAAACACTGGTCTGAGCTCTCGGATGTGTTTTGCAGGTGGAGAGCCCGACTACGAGCTGCCCCTGAGTGATGGCTACCAGCAGGAGCTGTGGCACCAGCCTGTCCCCCCTGTGCCACCACAGGGACCCAGTCCCCACCAGGACGTGTCCATCCAGCCCCTGGCACCTGCTGAAGTTGCAGTGTTGGGCACGGGACCGGCCACCTCTCCAGGAGAGCTTTCCTCTGAGCCCTCTCCGCAGGAGGTGCCACCAGCAGGTAGGCACCAGCCTGGCTTTTCTGCAGAAATGCCTGTCCCCAAGTCGTGGCAGTCAAGTGGGGTGTCCGTTGGGAAAATAGGGTCACCATGCACCCAAACAGTTTCCACCAGGACCATCACCTTGGTCATGTGGGTTGTCTTTCCTGCAAGGCATTGTCCAAAGCAGCAAGGGACTTAAAAGACTTTCAACAGATGGGGCAGGAGCTTCCTGGGCTCAGCCCTGACCATGTCTTTTCCTCTGCTCCTTAGGAGATGCTGGAGAGCCCCAAGACACCCATGGGGTGCAGAAGCAGCCGTCCCTGCCAGCAGAGCCAGTGAGTTGGGGTGAGCGGTCAAACCGCAGTGCTTGGTGTTGAGATGGGGACGTGGGACTCATTGATTCCTCTCCTTCCACACCTTGGTTTCCGTACCACACAGCACAGTGCCACCTGTCCCCTTAGGGAGAGCCGAGGGGTCATGGTGGCCCTCTCCAGCATCCTCCATCCCAAATCTGGGGCACCTGGCAGCACCTTCCCACCTGCCCTAAGGGACACAACAGGTCCCAGGGGACATTAACCATCAAGCCTGGTGTGGTGGTGGCCCCAGGCTGCTCTGGTCACACTTGGTGCTCCACAAGCACCATGTTACAGACCAGGTGGTCTCCGATGCCAGCAGGGGTTAAGCACGAGGGCTCGCTCGGTCTCAGAGAGCTCGACCATCTCCCAGGAGGAAGGCAGCCAGCCGTCTTCTGACAGCGCAGCTGAGGAGCCAGCAGCAGAGGTGACCCCGGGTGAGGACAAGGTGAGCAAGCTGTAGCTGATGGGAAGCGTGGCTGTACTGTGCCTGGCTGCCCTCTCCCAGCTGTGCCTTGGACAAAATGTCTGTCTGGGTGTCAGCAGTACAAGGGGGAGCTGCAGGCACCGTCCTGCTCCCATCTGTTGGGCTTGTAGCAGCCTCACCTGCTTGCCGCTTTGACCGTGAAACCTGTGCTTGCCAGAGCTCTGGATTCAGGTGGTTTGGCTGGTTTCGGTCGAAGCCCACTACAGAAGCCTCTCCCAAAGCCACGTCTGCTGCAGACTGCCCCACACCAGAACCACAGGTAGGAGGGACACAGGTGCAGCTATGAGGATGGGTGGTGCATTGCTCCCTGCATCCCTCCCATCCATCCTTCAATCCTAGAAGTGAATCCTTTATTGAAAATAACTGTAAATACATGAGGCATTATTGCTCTGGGAGGTGCCCCAAGCTCTGGGCAATCTCCCCAGAGACTGCTCACCCCAGCCAGCTGCCTTATAGCCCCCATAGTGGTTCTTCAGGGGGTGCAGGCTGGCACCCCAAACCGGAACGTGCAGGGCAAAGGCCTTCTCCACACACAGAGCCCCAAGCAGGTGGATGTGTTTCAGGAACGGATGTCGCCATCCCCACCTGATGCTGCTCCTGCAGCTGGGATGAGTCCTTCAGCCTCCCCATTGCCTCCCTCCAGAAACCCCGGTAAGTGTGGCACGGGGCATTTCTGCCCCCTCCCTTTGGAATGCTGCTCCTTTTGTTTCTTTAAGTATGTTTTTGAGTTGCATGCCCCAGAATCACCAAAAAGTCAAATCTCTTTGTTGCTACTGCAGTGTCCATTGACATGAAAGTCCCGTGGGATGTGGACAGTCACAAGGCTGGAGAGCAGGTGAGGGAAGGTGGGCGTAGTGGTGTCCAGCCACCCATCTGCTTGGGGCAGCTCTGAAATCGGGGTTGACTGGTGTCTCTCCCTTCACCCACTGCAGCCTGGCTCCAAGCAACCACCGCTGGGGACAATCCCGCTTTTCAACCCTGCTGAGATCTCCCAGGTGAGAGCCTCCTTCTGGGCTGCTGCTTGACTGGGTGGGGGGGCAGCACCCTGACTTTTGGGCATAACAGAGGTGCGATTGTGGCCAGCCATCACACCTGTTTTGGGGGGCAGTGGGGACAAACCATGAATGTCTCTTCCTGTGCTTCCCCAGCTCACCGCCACCCGACCCAGCCAGCCCAGGCTGCTCTCCCAACGCCGCTACCCCAACCCTTTGTGAGTGGAGGGGGCAATGCATGTGTATGGCTGCGAGAAACCAACAGCAGTTTGTGGAAAGCTTTGATATAAAATGGTGTTTGTGGTTTCTTTATTTATTTTTTTTTGGGGGGGGGGAGGGGGGGTAGGGGGGGGGCAAGGGGGGATGACACAAAATGTCTGGCTCTCCCCAGCTTCTGCCTGTAGGTTCTGAGGGTGTTGGGGGGTGTTTCTGTCATAAAATGGTGGGGGTGTTGGGGGTGATTCTGTCATCTGGGGGTGATAAAATGGTGGGGGAGGGGGGTTGAGGGGGTGTTTCTGTCATAAAAGCTTATGTGTGGGGCTTTTGGGGGGTGTTTAGATGTAGAGCTTAGGGATATGGTTTAGTGGGGACTGTTATTGTTAGGTTAGAGGTTGGACTCGATGATCTTGAGGTCTCTTCCAACCTAGAAATTCTGTGATTCTGTGATTCTGTTTCTGTCATAAAATATTGGGAGTGTGGGTTTTGGGGGGAGTTTCTGTCATAAAATGTTAGGTATGGCGGTTTTGGGGGCTGTTTCTGTTATAAAATGTTGGGGAGAGGGTTTTGGAGGAGTTTCTGTCATAAAATGTTAGTTTTTTTTTTTGGGGGGGTGTTTCTGTCATAAAATGTTGGGGGTGTGGGTTTTGGGGGATGTTTCTGTCACAAAACGTTAGGTATGGGGTTTTTGGGTGTGTTTCTGTCATAAAATGTTAGTTTTTTTTTTTTGGGGGGGGTGTTTCTGTCATAAAATGTTGGGGGTGTGGGTTTTGGGGGTGTTTCTGTCATAAAATATTAGTTTTTTTTGGGGGGAGGTTTCTGTCATAAAATGTTGGGGGTGCATATTTTGTGGGCTGTTGCTGTCATAAAATGTTGGAGGTGTGGGTTTTGGGTGTGTTTCTGTCATAAAATGTTAGGCATGAGGGTTTTGGGGGGTGTTTCAGTCATAAAATGTTACCCTGGCAACTGTTACCATGGGTTATACCAGGGCAATTGTGACTATGGAACCGTTACCATGGCAACCATTACCACTGTAACCGTTACCACGGCAACTGTTACTATGGCAACCGTTACCATCCATCTCCTTTTCAAGGCCAATAGGGCCTGGGTCAAAAGGCACGTCCAGGTCACCAGGAGATGTAACAGCAAAAGCCTTCGATGGCTGTAGCAGCAGAGGGGCCCATGGTGTAGCAGTCGGATCAGTAAAGGAGCCCGCAGCTCCCTCACTGTCTGGCAAACCACACGTTTGTGACTGTGGTCCCACAGGGCTCTTTAAGGCCTCAGAGACTGCTCGCAAGGTACCGAGCAATCCCACTGCAACCTGGTCGTTTTTAGTTGCAGAGTCCCACACCTTGACCTCAATTTGGTCCCGTATTTCAGGATCATTAACTGTCCGATTGTTAACAAGGAGAATAAGCTGTAAGGTTACCAGGACAGGCTTTGTTCCTAAGGACGTATGATTCCCCGTAATGCGCAGCTGCTTACCAGCGAGGGGCAGTTGTGTGCGCGGCTCCGCTTCTCTCAGCTTCAGCTTCTCTCCAGCTCCGGTGCACCCATCTCCAGCGACTTTCAGTACGAGCTTCTCTGAGCGGTTTGCTGAGTGGCCGAACCCATCTTCATGAGGCGATCAATGTGCCTGTTCCCGTCCTGGTCTCTGTTCTGCCAGCCTGTTCCTCTCCATTCCTTCTTTCTCCTTTATTGATGGCATAACTTCATTGTGCTGTGTTGCCTTTTATTTTTATTTTGAGGACAGGCTCCCCTCTTATGCCCTTCTCCCCACAGCAGTCCTTTTCCAAACAACTTTTCACTGGTCAAACAACTTTGCATTCCGACCCCCATGGCCAATCTCCCCCTTCTTTATTAATAGCACCCACTTTCTCGACACCCACTCAAAGTGTTGGGGTGTGAGTGTTGCAGGTGCTTCTGTCACAAGATGCTGGGGGTGTCTGTGGGTGTCTCTAAGATGGTGGGCAGCGGGGCCCCCCAAAATGGTGCCCGGGGGAGAGTAGTCTGAATTGGGTTGTGGGGCCGTGCCCCACCCCACCCATTGGACTCAGCGCGCCGGCCGTGAGTCTGTCTCAAGGCCCCGCGGGGCCACGAGCATCCGCGGGGCTGGGGTTGGCCGGCCGATGGGGGCTTCCCCCGCCCCCGCTTCTCCTGCCCGGGCCGGCCCTGCGCGGCGCCCCCCCTTGCTGGTGGCTCACCCGCCCGCGCGGGCGGGGCCCTGCTGGGGCCGCGGGCGGCCCTTCCCTCAGACCTTCCCCGAGGCGGGGCCGGCGGGTGACGGGCACCCCGTGGGTGGCCTCGGCGGTGAGCTTCCCCCGGACAGCGCTGGGGGTGCCGGGCGGGGATATAAAGCCCCGCGCTGCGCCTGCCCTTCAGGTCAGGGCGAGGTACCCGGCGTGCACCGCGCCGCATGCAAATGAGGCCACGCCCCTCATTAGCATGCGGCCCTTTCCCGGCCAGCGGGGGGCTCGAGGGGCCGTGGGGCGCTGCCGGCTGCTGGGCACCGCCAGCGAGTGGGCCCCTGTGGGGCCGGCACCCACCCGTGACCGCCTGTGGGGTATCGCTGCTCTCCTAAAACCCACAAAACCCACCAGGAGTGACACAAACCCGAGCACACCTGGCTCTGCCTCCACCAGGGCCCCCTGCACCTCAGGTCTGCCTTACGGGGCAGAAGTGACCCAACGCTGGGATGGACCCCACAGGTTTGCGGACCCCACAGGGGGCCCTGGACAGCGGTGCTTGTAGGGCAGCCCTGCTGTGAGGTCCGTACCCCGCCTGCTTTGTGGCACTGAGCACTTCTTGCTGCCTTCCCCCCTTTTAGGATGGTTTAAATGGGCTGAGCAGCAGGCAGCACTCACCTGGAGCCTTAAACATCCTACTTTTTTGGGATTGTGTGTCATGGCCCTCAGGAAACCTCTTTTTTGGGGGAGAAAAGTGATCTTGTGTAAGATGGCACAGGTGGAAATATCTGGTATTTCTGCAAGGCGGAGGTGCTGAAATAACGCCCTGTGCTTGCAGCGGCAGGCAGGGAGCAGGCAGCGCTGGGGGCAAGCAAGCTGCGGGCAGCCTGAGCGGAGGAGAAGTGAGGGCGGTGGTGGAGGGGGAATGAATGGCAGGTCTCTTCCCCGCCGAGGGATGAGGGTGGCAAGCAGTTTCTGCCTGAGCAGACACGGAGACTCCTGCGTGTTGGCAGAGGAACAGAATGAAATTTGAAATGTCAGGGGAAATATTTTTAGATAGAAGTTGTATGGTCTCGAGCTCGCTCCTCGGGTTTTTAGTTTCAAACTCCTTTCTTGATACCCCTGGGGTTGTAAGGAGTCGGGCAGCGAGGTGTTTCTGAGGCAGGAGAGGCAGCTCAGCCACACGTGGGGAGGGGCAGCGGGAATTTGCTCACTTGCTTCTAGCTTGGTGTGCTGTTTGGTCTCAATAGCACGGGGGAATGGAGATCAGGAGTCATGAAAAAGTTCAGAGGGTGGATCTGCATTGTCTGGTGTGTGTGAACCGTGTGTCAGGCTTCAGTCAAAGGGCTTCAAAAACATCGAGGCTGTGGCTGGTGTTGGTGGCTCCTTGCAGCAGGGAGGGCTGGGCTCTGGGTTAGAAGTGATTTCCCATCAGCGTCTTGCTGTGGAAGTGTAGAGGCAGGCCAGCTGTCTGCTAGGGCTAGGAGGCTGGGAGAGATTTTCTTCTGTGCTGCTTTGGGTGCTTCAGAGGTAGCGAGAACATCTCTGTGCTGGGGGCAAAGCCCCCTGGCCTGCAGGACCACGCTGCCCAGCTCAGCAAGGCTGGAGACAGAGGATCCATTTGTCCCATGTTGTGCACTTAGGGGTGCACTGCAGTGATTCTCTGAGGTGCTGGCCCAGCCTTTAAGAAGAAATAGGGGATTCCCCAGGCCTTGCAGCTACGCTAAATATCCTGGGGAATCGGGGCATCTGGTTGTCTACAGAGGGGCACCTCAACTGGGAAGTTTGCCTGTGAGTTGCTTGCTTATGGCCTCCTGATGAACTTGAGGTAAACTGGAACGAAGGCTCTCTTTTTCTTCCCCATCCTCTCCTAGGAGCCTTGGAAATGCATTAACCTGACGCTAAGTGTTACTCTGACTGATAGCAGCAATTAGGGCCGGTAATCTGAGACGGGGTGTCTGCTACGTGCAGTGCTGTAATTGCTGCCTGGGGGAGCTCCCGTTAAATGCCCTGAGCTGGGATGCTCTGGGAGCACTGGGATGCTCCTCGATGCCACTGGCTTGCAGAGGGAGGTGTGTGTGCCAGGCTCTGAGGATGCGGGGTTCTGTCGCAGCCTTGCTGTGTCTCCACACTGGCTGCCTGCTTAGGAAGACCCTTGGGGACAAAAAGAGGGCAGCTGAAGATGTCTTTCATTCAGGCCATGCTCAGAAATGGATCCACATCTCTGTCATTGCCATAGGAGCTGTCTAGAGGAATTGTTTCCTGACAGAATTGTGCTGCACAGCGTGGCAGTAGGTGCGAGCACAACACTGCTAGAGGGACGAGGAGGGCTGGTGAGGTCTTTACATTTCTCAGTGAAAATGGCTGGAAGCTGAACTAGGCTGCAAATGCTTTCTGCTGGTATTAAGGTGACTGGCTGCATGGTTCCAGCCACGACTTGAGTATTCAGGAGGTAATGGTGCAGCCGGGGGGTGCTGGAAACCCGTCAGCAGCCTGCGATGCGGTGCAAGAGCTCTCAAACGGGTCACTGGCATACAGAGTTCCTTGAAGGTTAGTGAGGGCACATACTCTCTGTGCCTGTGACAGGTGAGTATGGATGGACTGCTTTTGGGGCAGCTCCAGTTCCCACTGAGCTGGAGCTAGCTGTGCCCAAAACACTGATTTATTTAGGAATTAGGCTGGTGAGATGTTCCTTCCTTGCTTTCCCCGCTGCACAGAGGAGGCACCGCGGTGCCCAGCTTGTGTTTCTGGCATCTTCTGCCCAGCTGCTTTTAGTCTCACGTGTGTCCCGCTGGGTATAGCAAGGCCACAGTCATTTAGAACTGTTATTTATTAAAAGAAGTGCTGGGTGGTGACCCTGTCTCTGTCCCTTCAGCTCCTGGTGACATCTGTGACGCAGCTGGTCT